TCTTCTTCTGAACTGCTGCCTGGAACTCGTATATTCTCCTCTATTGGCAACACGATTTGCTGTTTTTTGCTGTTATGGTTGCGACTCACCGGGTTTGCGCGGTCTGAGCACCGTCAGACAATCAGATTACGAAATGCAACGTAGTATTCAAATTTTAGGCGATCCTGGTGCGAGACCATGGAAGGTAAATGCTATATAGCGGGGGAAAAATACTACCACCATGACCCGCAGAGAATACGGGCAATACGTGGCTAAGAGCGGGGCTTCGACGAAGATTTCAACCCGGATCGCATCGTCATCAGAAAAAATGCGCAGAGCACCCCTTTTTCACGTTCTAACAATCAATTGATTGTATAAGCAACCTGCGTAGATCAAGGCGCAAACTAATGTTAATGAATATTTTTTAGTAGAAAAATCGATTTCGGAAAATATGTACAGTAACTCCTAGACATGTCTATGTTTTAAATATAATCCTTATGCGAAGTAGTTACCACCAGAAGGTTAACGATTAGGTACGGAATCCAGTATGTAGTGTTTATATTAATTTTCGAAAGAATCGCGTTATTCTTGCCTCTATCATATTCTACAGACTATGTACAATCTAAACGGTCAATTGTCAGTTTTGATGCACTGTCTCCTTTCACCGGTCGCCAAAACACACCTGAAATTTGCCATGCCTATTGAAGTTGATGTGAGCCGCATTCCTTGAAGCTTATTAAATTCTCTCTTGCCATCGTTTATATGCCTTTCTTCGGCCTGTTTTCTCTATCTCGAATAGGTGCATATCTCTGGTTCTAAACGTGAATTATCTGGCCTCTCTACTGAAAGCACTAGCCTACTTTGCGGGTAATAATTGGTCACTCAGTGAATTAGTTAATTAATGGAATCCTTGGATTGCTAAATATATCTTGCTAATGACCAAGGAAGTCCTCCGCCGTCGGACTTTTTCTACCTCAGTTGGTTCCGAACATTTCTTTTCACAATTTACCCATTCTATCCAGTTCCTACGGTGACTATATTCTTCGAAAGGTCCAACGCGTTTTCGATAGTGTTTACTTTGAACCCGGGCTTCAACTGACTGACTTCGTCCATGCTGACGCTTTCGCTCTGCTCACAGTAGGGGGCTGCTCGTTGGTGAAGTCATCAATTTGGTCGGTTAATCCATAAATTAGGGGTAAACCAATGTCTTTAAGCGGCATCCCTGATCACGTGAAAGTACCCGTCAGGGTTAATAGCTATGGAAATTTTTAACTACCTCGAAGTGATGCTGTTGTCAAATTGAAGATATAATCTTCGGAGTCGATACTGTTCGCGGGGTTAACTATCCCGTACAATGCAAGAACTAATCTAGGAGGCAAACATGTCACATCGTCCTACAGAAACGGTGGTTATAGGTGTTTTGAGCTTGGGGAAATAGGATAGGCAGTGAAGGAAATTTGTAGAAGTAAATGGAAAAATGTATATGAATTTATTTCCCGCAGCCGCTGGGAGTTAGTTATTCAGCATAAAAAAATTGAAGGTTTGCGCGGCGCCTTCTGCCGCAGACTATATTAGTATAACTCCAGAACGTGAGTTGGACCTCAGGTCAGTTGATGGAGACGACCTCCTAACCACCATTTCCATTTTTTAGGAATTTCAAGAAACCTGCATTTTTATAATCAGGGTTTTCCGCAACAGGTTAAACGACAATACAGATTAGAAAAATCTACAGATATAAATCAACTTTTCCAAATACTATAAAATAAAAATGCATATAGCAGTTTTTAAAGTTATATAAAGTTATTTAAGTATATTCCACTGCCTGTCATAATTCCCCACCCATAAAATCTCTATAACCACCGTTTTCGCAGGAAAAAATGCTGGGAATAGGAGTATATGAGGTGCACTACTTAAACTACTGCTGCGGCATTGCCCACCTGACAGTTTCGAAGAGGTCGACTGCAAATTTAGCGCGAAACCTCTCGTTGGGATAGGGAAGGGGCTCTTGGGCTTTCAGTATTCGGTCTCCGTTGTTGGAAGAGAGCATATGTCCAAATCTGTAGATCCGCTGTCTCTGATCGCCACATATGAGAACGCAATTCGCGACATATTCGAGAACGGCCAAATCAGTCATAATCACAGCTGTACCAAGTAAATCTATTCAGACTCGAGGTAGGCGGTCAAATATGGCCTTTATATGGGTAAAAATGCTTGGTCTGCGACTGCGATACACAATAAAAAGATTATCCTTGCATCCTTTTTAGGTTTTATGGTGCCTACACTTAAATGTATCGAATAGCATTCAATCACGGTCTTTGGAGTCCAGTGCGTGATCATCTTCTGCACATTTTCCGGTGTATTTCTGGGACAGAACAGAACACTGCTATTCGATATGCTTATCAACGAGATATAAAGGCCTACATGGTAAATCTTAATTTACACTCGAACATTCTTAAGATTGCACGTCTTCTCATACTCTATGTCTTGAAACGACATTTTTTACTTGATCCGGTCGATGTGCACGTAGAACGAACCCCAGAAGGTCGCCCACACCTGCCGTCTCATCCGGATTTTGACTTCAACGTTTCACACAATGGCGACTACACAGTCTTGGCTGCCTGCACAAATGGGAGAGTCGGTGTGGATGTGATGAGAATTGTGTTGCCACGTAAGATTCTCAATTGTCTAGCGTCTCAGCATTTGGTATCTCGGCAAATAGGTTCCTTTTGAAGATGAAGAACATTTTTGCTGTCTCGGAGTGGAATTTTCTGATGTCTGATGTATCCGATACGGCCAAAATGCAACGATTTTTCCGACTCTGGGTGCGTGCAATTCCCAACCAGTAAAGTATGCTCTTACCTCATCGAGATTTGCATGAAATATTTTCTAAAGTGTCTGCATAGCGCAACCACACTTTCGCCTGTCTTATATTTTTGCGTGTATTCTACTTTGAAACGGTATCGTCCTGCAACTGCGCTAAAACCGATTTTTCCCCTTCTCAGTCTTACTTATGAAGTGCATTATTTAAGAGTGATTGGTTGCTTGAATTTAGTGTCTGAAAGAGGCGTACGTGAAGGCGCTCGGTGTCGGTCTCAGTATGGACCTTCAAACAGTTGAATTTCAACTATCCAACGCAATACCAAATTGCGTTTGTGCTGAACCCCTTCATTGGACTTTCGAGGAACATACTTTGGGCTCGAATCACGTCACCGCAATTGCCTGGAATATCCCCTGTTCTCCGGTTCGTTCTTCAGACTGTAACGTTCCACACTCTTAAATTTTATTTCCCTCACGAGAAAAGGGGTTATCTATGAGTATGTCGTTCTAAACAAACCTGCTTTACATGGCCCTAAGAGTAGAGGAGAGTATGTACAACGTTATGTAAACGTTAGTGTCTACGTTTTTCTACTCTGCTGGATATCTAGCACGTTAAGTGTTTCTTAGTGGAACGTTGTTCAGTGAAGGTCATTTGCGACTAGTGACGATAATAAGTTTATTTTCGTACAGTTTAATAGGCACCGTCAGAAGGAACTTGACAAGGCAGGGGCTCGAACCCAGATAATCTGGAAGACAAGACAACGCTCTACCCATTTCGTTGGGGTCTGAAGAAGGTCAGTTCGACCGTCGATTTGACCTCACTCTATTCCCATTTCCGGAACCCTTCCCCAACAGAGGGGCTGGGCTCATCAGTGAGGCTCCCATATTTCTTGTCCCGAAATAAGGGGTCATGTCCCGAATACTTTAATCCGCGTCTGCTCAGAATTGTTGGCCGAAGTTTGCTGCTCCAGCAAATACAAGAGGACGGATTGGGAATCGGCTGATAAGTCGAACCTCTCAGAGTCGCGTCATGCAGTAACAAAAACATAGGCTGAGTATGTCTTGGCTTTCAGTTTTTACTTATTATCATAACAAATGCCACACTATGTGGTGGCATATCTAGATGCAGACTTAGGCCACGGCTGCCAGTTGCGCTTCCTCGACGCAGTAAAAGGCTGCCTAGCTTGGATAGTGGACTGATGCTTGGTAGAGTGAAGAGAAGGTGAGACATATCTTGGGGACTTGTTCCCCAAAGCCTCGCTTTTGGGTCCACTGTCCCTCAAAATTTACGTGTACTGCTCCTTCCCAGCTATTGTCAGTCTTACCATCGCGAACGAGTACGTTCATGTATGTACACCCACAGAACAACATTGACTTGCGCGCAAATTAGTTTTTAATGACAACGACCGTGCACAGCATCCGCCACACTCTCCTTCCTCGGTCCCCTGGATCTAGTGGCAAAGCAGAATCAGGATGACAGGGGCGCGGGTTAGTCACAGTAGCTAGCAAAGCTCGACAGCCCGTATGCGCGTGTTACACGCTTTGTAAACATACGAACAGCCAGGTTTTAGTAAAAGCAGGAAAGGAGTGGCTCGGATCCCATCTAACCGAAATTGCTATGGAGGCCACATCAAGAATCTATTGCATCCCGACTCTCTGGCAGCATTCCAAATGGTTACGCACGTGAGATTTACAATGTAAACTAGATTACATTCGGCAATTTCCTTTGAAAGCTTATTCCAAAATCCATCAGTCTGTCTTCAGAATGGTTCTCGATTCCCCGTCCCGTTAGAGACGTAATATATGTCTCTGTGAAATTTGTTAGTTAGACTGTCACCCCCGTTAACGCTGTAATCAACTTAGGCGTTTTTTTTATTGAATCACAACAGCGCCCCGAACCCGGAGAGTTTGAAACGCTTTCCTATGAGGAGCTCGTCGCCGACCTGCGCCCCTTTAATGACGTGTCTCCTGATCTGTGGTCCGAATTCCTCGCAAAAGACTCCTCTCCTCCGTCTTCGCGAAGGATCTTGTCCTGAAAAGTAGGCATGTCATCGGTGGAAAAGAAAATATACTTTATTTTCATAAGCACAATTTTCCGCACACCATACAAGATGCGTGTCTTTTTTCACACGCATTTGTGGGGTCTGTAAAGAAACAAACGCAGACGTCATATTGCACTAGCACACAAAACGGTCGAAGTACTACAAGCTTGGACGTAATAATGTCAAGGGGGGTAATTCGCACCCGAGGGCGTGGAACCGGCAAGAAGGATCCTTTGGGTTTTCGGGGCGGGAGAGTTTGCCACCCACCTCAACCTTCCAGCCCATCCCAAAGAATTCAATCAGTGCGGCCAAAAGCAATCGATAGATGAAGGCACGTGGCGGGTGACAAATACCTGAAGCGAGTAGCAGGTTTGAGACAAGGTAGGCGG